TTCGCCAAAATCGCCACTGCCCTCTGCCATCTCATTTGATATGTTGTTAACTATTTATCGATTGTTCGCTATTTCCGCCATTTTCGCCAAAATTGTCACTTTCAAAATGGGCCCTTGGCCATCTTATCTAATATCTTGTTGACAAATTGGCGATTAATCGCAATGTCTGCTATTTTTGCCAAATGCGCCATTTTCGCCAAAATCGCCACTTCCAAAAGGGGCCCTTTCGCTATCTTATTTATTATGTTGTTATCTATTTGGTGATTGTTCACCATTTTCCCCAAATGTTTGCAATTTTCACCATTGCATGCATTTCTGGACATAACTCAACATATATTATATAAGGCAAAAGCAAGTGAAAAGAGCGTAAAAATAGTATAGTTAGTACCACTAGAGACGTAAACAAGATGGCCAATCTGATATATTTATCTTTTTACCTTATGAATTGACACGGTTTTTCAGATCATCCTCTTATTATTAGCTTTGAATGGTTTTTCTTATGCTTGTGAAAGTCGAACTTTGCGGAGGATAAATCCGCGGGGATTCACTTCAATATGCCACATAAATAATTCTTGGCGGGAAAAATACCATTTTGTATAAAGTGCTTTTCAAGAGGGTAAACGGTTACCTGAGTCGATGTTTAGAGGTAAATACTCTTGTACAGTTAACTAAACAACCTGATTACCCTTGCTGAGCACTGTATAGTAAATTTTCGACTTATCGTCCGGAAAAATATTTTTATATATTATTTCTTCTCTGAAAATTTGCGGGAAAAACTTTGCTTGATGGTATGTTAGTGTCACTTTGGACATCAGCCAAGAAATTTAGCCATTCGTTATCAATTCGTTGCCAATGTTTAGTGTGACATTGGAAAGATAGAGTTCGCTGAAAATCAAGCTATTTTACACCCGTGGAAGGCCCTGACTACAGGAAGTTTTTATCTTGAAATAAACATACCACCATTGGTAATCTTTTCACTTACCTTTTCTATGGTTATGAGGTTGAGGTCAAACGCCAACCTTGATCTTTTGCTTGTACCTGGTTTTCTCTGACAATCACACACAAGTCGGCTCAGTTATGACCTTCGCTCTTCTAGAATGAATCTTAAAGTGCTAAAAGCAAGAACAAATTATTTCAGAAATAATTTTGCTTCTGCAAGTGTTAAGCTCTGGAATTCTCTCCCTTCCAGTTTAAAGGAAGAGAGGCTAAGACCAGGTCGTATATACTATCTACAGAAACATCATAATTTTAGTTTTATTATTAGAAGGTTTAATATTGTGTGCGATCTTTTCCTACTTTAGTTTTTAGATACGTATCTATACCTTTATGTAAATTAATTAATGAACGACTTTTAGGTAGAACGGATACTTTATTGTAAAGTTATTTGATAAAATAACCGTGGGTAAATATGGTTTTCCCTAACTCACTCACTCACATAACCATTAGCCCTACACAGGCCTACCTAATCCTACATAGCGGTACATAACCCTACATAACCGTACATAGCTGTACATACCCCTACGATATTTCTATAAATTTCAGAATTAACAAGGACTTGTATGGAAAACCACTCAAACATGACTGGGTGGAAAGAGTTGTTTTCTGATACAAATCTTCCTAATTTTCGGCGGCCGTTGAAATTGCTACTTTTTAGATATACGGCTGAAAATTTACAGATTACCCAATTCTTGTAGCTCGTGCTAACAAAATTTTTCAAAAGCGACATGTCGAAAAGTAACATTAATGTCAGTGTTATAGATAAATGGATTGCAAGTGTAGCTTTAGAACCTAAAGGAGCGCGCCATAAATGGCAGCAAAAAAAGCTTGATACCAATAATACTGTTAATAATTGTTATTGTTATCATGTATAGTTTGCTGCGCATGAGTTTATGCCAGGAATACTTTGTATAGCTAGGTTCTGCTGGGTAAAGACAGTGTTTAATTGTGTTATCCAAACTTATTGCAAGTATGAACCAACAGATATTGCCCCAGCTGTTGTGAGCGCCGAGAAGAAGTACTGCCAATGTGAGAAAGAAAAAAAAGAAGCAGGTAAATTTCTAATCCTGCACAGCTGTTAACAATTAACCCCACCAATACTCTTGCCTATCTTCTGGAAGTGTGTGCTCCACATTTTGCCAGTGTTACAACTATTGTAACCCTCTAAATACCAGCTCCAAGGTGACTCCATTATCATTACATGAACGCTGTAGTTGTGGAAGGGCAAGGAGAAAAGGTGAAAGCAACAGAGCCTCTTGTGGTGACTATTCTGGAGAGAGATAATCCAAATTTCCTTGCTTATAATCAGGGATAAGTTGTAGCAGGGATTGCCAGTATTTAGAGTGTAGCAACCCACATAACGAAACGACCAAGAGGAATGTTATTTCAGCCTGCTAAACCACTTTACCCAAGAAGAGGAAAAGATCCAATCCTGACCCATAAAAAGGAAAGGTGGCTTAAAAGATCTCATTTCTCGAGGATTTGATGCCTCACCAGGTCACTGGAAAGATTTGGAAACGCTACTGTTGCTTGAGCATTAAGATTCATTGGACTACCTCGGGATGCAGTAGGCACTAAATTTCGAGCATGGTTGATTCAGTCCAATAATGGCTCCAGGAACAGAAAGAACTTAAATGTTGAAGGACATACGAAAACATTGGCAAGGTGCCATGTCAAGAAAAGTGCTCTTTCAGATGACCTGATAAAGAAAGTACAGAAAGGTCAGTTTTTGTTTGCTCATACCTGTGTTAAATAAAAACTTCTGGTGGAAATATCAACTACACTACATGTAGAGACATCAACTCTCAATAAATACTTTTTTCTAGATGAAAATTATGTGCTGAACACGAAAAATTCGTTACCAAGCTTGACCTTGAAAAACTGACCTTACTTCTGAACATGGAAACAAGGGTAATATTTTCCCCGCTTCCCAAAACCACATTGCACTTGAATTATTGTCCCAAATTAGCTAACCACAAGTTTCTTTTTCTGTGAAATAAACTAACAGACGGTCGAAGCTTAAAATTGTTGCCATGTTGATATTATATGAAGATCAACTACTGTAATGATTCGATTTAGCCCCCGCGCACTTATTTACTTTAGGTTCCTCAGGCGAGGGCGCTTATTCAAGAAAGGGGGCTTGTTTCTTTTTTGAGAAACAACCGAAGCAGAATTTCGTCTGTTATACAAGGTTATCATGTGTACAAAGTGGCATGGTCTCCAACTATAGCTCTGGCAGGCAGGAAATACAACTGTAAAGAAGCTAAAGAACACAATGAATACGCACTTAAGACTTGCCTTGAAGTTGATAACAAACTTGTTGGGCATGTCCCGATGGAAGTTTCCTTCCTTATATTCACCTTTCTTAAACCCCGCAGTGAGAACTAAGTGCAAGTCAAGGAGACAGGAAAACGGACTTATTGTCCCTCGATCCTTCCTCACCAAAACGACCAGCCAAGCAGTAGCCACAAAAATTGAAGACATCATTCATTTGAAATTGTTGAGAAACTCAGACGAAGACCACTGTTTTTGTAATGTGGCGTTACCGTTCATTTGTGAGCAATTAAAGGAAGATGAACCTCAGTCGATGAGTTCCCGTACTCTAATGTTATAATATTAGAATAGTGGCACTTATCAGAATGGGGCGCTCATTGGAATGGGAACACTTAATGGAAAATGGGCACTTAGTACGAAAAACATGTTCAAAGGGGGGCGCTTATTGGAAGGAGGGCGCTGAATCGAATCACTATAGTGATTATATATTGTGAAACTGGAAGGGAAACGTCCAATGCATATTCAGTAGTGTCATCTGCCTTTTCTCGTTCCACCTAGACTGTTATCTTTTCAAGTGGTTTTATGTAAATTCATTAGAGGTATCTTCTTATTCAACATGATAATTTAGTACCTCTTCCCCTACTTGCCTTCCCTTCACTTTAAATTTTCATATCCATCCTGTCTGCAAGAAGGTTAATTATGTCTGACGTGAAGGTTTCTTTTCAGTTTTACAAAACTTTCTCCGACAGGTTAGAAACAATCTGACTATTCATGTAAAGTTGTTTGTGTGGCACAGCTAGGGTATTTAAATGTAACTACATTTTCATGTTAATTGATAGTTTTTCACTTTTTAGCAAAATAAGGAGGTATTTTCTGTGGTCATACCTGTCTCACCGCTGTTTTGTGTACTCACAATCTACTCGAAACACCTTTGTCCCTTACCAACATCAGGGAAGATATCTTAATCGCCATTTGAAATGAACGTGCAGCGAATGTGCGTAAAGTATCATTTACGAAGCTAACCTTGCCATGTCATCTTAGATATTGTTGACATTGAAGTTTTGTCAGGGATAGAATGCCAATCAAAAGTTTACAATGCGGTATCTTTGATCACTGTTTTGACAAAGTCTTGACCAGTTTACTTCAAGAAGTGGTTGCTTTCTTTGCCAGCTTTACCCTTGGTTTTCGTTGACTTTAGATTCTTATTTTATCATTCAATCATGGCTCCAATTAGTCCTGTTCAAGAAAGACAACTTGTCCTGATGGAAAATATGAACTAGCCTGCGTAGCAGGTGTCAAAAGGGGAAAGGGATAAGGAGGAAGGGAAAAAGGGAGGGAAATTGGGGAGAGAGGGGGGAGATGACAATTCTGCGGACGCAGCATCCGCAAATTCCTGGTTGGCTGGGCTGTAATGAGTAACTTATGAAAAAAGTGTTTCACTCTTCACCAATAACAATCGAGATGGTGGCAGTAGACGTAGGTATTGTAGCAAGTGCTTTCAGAAATGTGCATTTCTCTAGTGATCGAGAAATTGTTTTTCAACCAGAACAAGAATCAGCATGAGGGCTCTTTTAGCCAACAGAGATGTCCTGGTGGTTTTGCGTCAAGAAAGGCTGAGATCGCCAGCTGCAAGTGAGTTGTCAAGACAAAGAAAGCTTTCAGTCAACTCCATCAACATGCCTGGAAATCTTCAATCGCAGACTAGTGCGTCAAGAAAGGCAAATAAGTCTATGAAAGTTTCTTCAAGTCAAAGTATGCAAGAGTTTAAAGAAGAGTCTTTTATTGATAGCCGGAGTGGTGCATTGTTCTCCCAATCTTGCCGGGAAGAGTTATCCCTGAAGAAACAGAATAAAGCCGTGCACGTGTCAAGCGCGAAGCACAAGGCCAACAAGGAGAAGATGGAAAAGACTACAAAGGAAAGGCGAACTGCAGATGCCATAGCTAAGTATGATGAGGCACACCACCCTAAAGGTGAGACAATTCCCAGTAGCACGAGTTTTTAGAGCAAAAGTTGTGCAAGCATTTGTGAAGAGTGGAACACCATCAAATAGGACGAAATATTTCAGAGATCTGTTTGAAGAAGGATGCTTCACTTTGACATCTTCAACCCACATGAGCTAATTGATCCCTTTTGTTATTGGGAAGGAATATAAATCAATATCCAGGGAAATACTGGGTAAGGAACTTTCTATCATGTTTGATGGAACAACTCGAGATGGTGAAGCCCTAGCTGTTCTGGCTCGTTTTCTGCAAGACTGGGACGTGAAAGTTGGGCTTATGAGGTTTCAACTTGTAAAAAGTTCAGTTAACGATGACAAGTTAGCTACAACCACCTGCAAAAGTACTTGAGACACTGTACCGTATTTTGGCATAAATGGCCTGTCCATGATCTTGTGCTTGTGACCCCCCCTCCACCCCTTATCAAAGTTGCTAGCAATACAAGACCATACTAAAAACTTGGAGGAACAACTTTGAATGGGAGGGAGGAGGCAGTTCAGTATTATATTTTACCGACCTGTGACCAGGAGCGATTTGAGGCAAGAAAGGTCGTTTTTCCGTGGGAGTGTCTCATCATTTTTGCAACTGGTTGTCTGATTCCTTCATACCCCTATAGCCGTGGTGCACGATTATTAAACGGGGTAAAACGTGGTGCACTCTTAGCACCTAAGGAGGTGGTTATAAAAAACAGTATTTCATTTTTGTCGGTTTGCCTGTTTAAAAATGGCGAGACAAAAACGGCAGTTGTTGGCCCTATTGTTTATGTGGTAATATGGAAGAAATTGGGCTTTTAAAGGAAGCACGTGGGTTTTTGGTCTTAAAACGCTACAGAGATGCGAAAAATAATATATTTTCTTCGAACTCGGTTGAAAGATGTTTATTTATGGAAGGAAAGTGACGTAAGATGCCTCGCTAGATCAAGGAGATAGCTTTTTGTTGTTGTTTCCGATAAGTACGTGGACGTGGTTCCTCTTTTATCGCCTGCCATTTACAGGAAAGAAAAGTTACGCTAAAAAGCAGCTGTTGGCGACTTTACTTTACTTAACACAAGTTTGGATTTGTGTTTACTCTTTGGTCGTCTTACAACTTTGTTTCGATTTTGAAGCCCGAGTGTGGCCATAGGCATCAGATAATGAAAATTCACGCGCGTATTTCAGTAACATAGTCGCGAGAGCTCGCATATAACGTGGCTTTGTGGTTCTGTACTTGGTAAGGAAATTTATTTCTTTGCAAAAAGGAAGACACTATCCCCAAGAACAGCAATTTTCCAGCACAGCAATGTCAGGAATTTACGTGCTTCAACGGTCTACACGGTCTACACGGTCTACCATCATATGAGATAAATATAATAATATATTCTATTTCTTACTGTTGCAGAATGGTAGACCGTCAGAAAATATAAATTAACATAGCACACAACTTTTTCTGCTCTCTAGCTCTAACGGACTTTAATAACCATCTTATTTTCACCGTAGTAGATGAAAAAAATTGAACGGTTTTACTTTAACAGCGATGTTGAAAAATAAGTCACGCGGTATACCGATTACATAACGCCATTGCATATCAAATGTCATTGCGTTACAGATACAGGGGTGAAAATGAAGGTTTGGCAGTTTTATTCGCAACTATAGTATCTCTAAATACCAAGAAAAGGAAACTTATGCTGTTATTATGCATTCGCGCTTCTCAGAGTTTAATTACAACGTCGAAACTTTAAGCTATGTCACGGTAGATAATGGCGCATGCGTTACAACAAAACTGAGGCAAAATTTACAAGTCACTACATTCTTAAGCGCTTTTTTAGGCAGTTTGCTATCAATGACAATGATGTATCGGCTGGGAAAAGCAACACAAAGTGTCATTCTATTTATTTATGTCGCTATAGTCTTCGTTTTGGGAATTTAAGACCTGGAAATCGCTTGTTGAAGTAAACCTTAAATGAGACAACCAGCTGCAAAAGTACTTGAGACACTGTACCGTATTTTGGCATAAATGGCCTGTCCATGATCTTGTGCTTGTGAACCCCCCTCCACCCCTTATCAAAGTTGCTAGCAATACAAGACCATACTAAAAACTTGGAGGAACAACTTTGAATGGGAGGGAGGAGGGAGTTCAGTATTATATTTTACCGACCTGTGACCAGGAGCGATTTGAAGCAAGAAAGGTCGTTTTTCCGTGGGAGTGTCTCATCATTTTTGCAACTGGTTGTAGCATTATAATTGAGGTACTCCATCGAAAGCTGAACGTTCCTCAAGGCTGCGTCTTAGCAGCAATGAGTGGGACAGAGCGCCAGTCAACACCAAGGCATTACAAACATTGTCTGTGTTGTACCCGGAAATGCTTGACATTGGGTGCATCTCCCACTTTCTAGACCGGGTGGGAACCAAACAACAACATTCCAACATTCCAGTTCTCAAGCAGTTCATGACGAGGTGGAATCTCATATTTACTACAAGTATGAAGGGAAGAAGAGTATGGAAATAGATATCCAGGACAGCCATGCCATGGTACAATGCGACAAGATGGTGGAGCTACTGGGAGTCTGCTAAAGTTGTGTTTGAGGAGTGGAGGCATATCACCACATTCTTAGGGAGCAACGAAGAGTTTGCTGACACATCAAGGCAATGACTTTCCCAGATTTTGACGCAGAATGCAGTACAGTTGAACGTCGAGGTAGGATCGCTCATGGAACTGGAGAAGTTTGTTAAGGCAACCTACACTCTAGAGGGGGATGGTCACTTGATATTTATCGCCTTTCAGAAGCTTGAAGAGCTCCGAGCTCTTATTCACGCACACAATTTTCCAGTTATCCTAGGTGTGGTTCAAGAACTGTTTCCTCTGAACATTGGCGACCAGCGAAGATGGTACCAGTATGGCCTAAGGGAGTGTGTGATGCCTGCCTTTCAGTATTTTCTGAACACTTTGGCAAATGACTTGGTAGTCTCCTGCACTGTGAAAGTGTTCTGTGCTGCACAGCTTTTCAGTCCACGAGCAGTCAGCGTATCCGACCCACACCTGCTGACATCGAAAGGATAAGAGATGTGCCGTTTTTGAACACCAATGATGTAATCCAGTCACTAAAAGATCAGCTCCCCAGTAGTAATAGTGGCTACACTAGGTCCTGACCAATCAGAGCGCAGCAAAATTTTTGTCGACCAATCAGAATCGAGCATTTAGACCATGTGACCAATATGACGTCACAATGCCCATATTTGGTCATGAAAATTCACGTGACCCCATGGAATAATGAACACGCGCACACAAGGGTTGAATCCACATTCTTTACATAGTTTTAATGACAACAGAGCCTGGATTTACAAGCGGGACGTGTGTGACATCCGAGTGACGTCACGCCCATTTTTATGTTAATACACAAAATGAAGATAGGGTGTTTGCTTCTTGGCAGAAGAAGTCATGAGCGCTGGATGAGGCCATTGGATATAATGGTTGAAACCTGTGTATGACCATGGTTTGATTAAAGAGAATTTAATCGCGGAAAAGATATCTGAAACGAATCAGAAGGAGGGGTGGTTAGATCCAAGAAGCAAACTGAATAAGAAACAGTCGACCATTGGTACGCACGAGGCGGTGGTTTATTGTCCAATGATTGACTGGAAAACAAAGAAAAACAGGACTTAATTACATGTGGGACGTGTGTGACGCCCTAGTGACGTCACGCCCTTGAAATGTTTGTTTACAATAATATTCTATTAAAATCCAGTCTTGATTATAGTCAAAATGATCTAGGATCCAAAGACATTCTAATGAAAAAAATCAACGTTTGGGTTTGAACAAATAGAGTAAGCTGGACCATCCTTGATGATTGACAATACAAAGTTTATGAGGGATGGGCCAGCTTCGAAAAATCATGACATCTTGAATGATCCAATAGGAATCTAATGAAAAAATTAACGGTTCAATTTGAACAAATAGAGTAAGTTGGACCATCCTTGATGATTGACGATACAAAGTCTATAAGGAATCTAAGGGTCACATTGTCTAGGTTCCGATGGGAATCTAATGAAAAAAATAAGAATGAACATCCAGCAGGGGTGGCGCCACCATGCAGACCTCCCCCTGCTGGGTGATCAGAATTCCCATCCCATGCTTTCTAATATGGCACAGCCCCGACAGGGTTTATGGAGGGTGGATACGTAACGTAAAAAAAGCCAACAGCGATTGCAAGTGAAATATAATTTTCCCGTCTGATTTTGCACGTTATTCCTTGTATAAGTGGTCATCACCTGATTGGTGTCTGAAAAAGGGAAGGGAAATCAAAAAAATGAGAATGAACATCCAGCAGGGGTGGCGCCACCATGCAGACCTCCCCCTGCCGGGTGTTCAGAAATCCCAGGCCGTGCTTTCTAAGATGTGACAACCCCAACAGGGTTCATGGAGGACAGATACGTGACGCGAATAAGTCCAACACTTTTTACAGATAAAGTACAATTGGCTCATCGGATAATTGTAGGTGTATCTGGTGTGATTCTCCATCACCTGGGCAGTGGCTGAAAAAGGGAAGGGATATAAATGGCTCGTATGACAAAACGAGTATCTGAAAAGAAAAAACATGTTTTCAAACACGGGGTGGATATCCCATGCCTTGCAACATCTCACACCAATAACAGGGCACGTGTAAATCGCTTACACGACGAAAGTTCAAAAAACAACGACAACAGAGTAATTTGAGTGGGCTCGGATATGGAAGGGAGATCCCTGATCCAGTGTACCACTGCACAATACTGCCGCAAAAACACCAGGCAGCGGAGGTACCATGAACCCTGTGGGTGCTGATAATGGTATGCGAATCTGTGAAGAAAATTAATAATAATACTCTGTCTTCATGAGTAAGAAAGCAACGCGGTCTTGGAACCAGCGGCTGTTCTTGAGGTGAATACGTGTATCTAAAAAGCAGTGCCATTGCAGAATTGAATGAGATGTTGAACACAATGAATATGGCATCGGTGTTGCAAGGGAAGGATCCACCCCCATTGTTCAATCACATCAATCACATCTGAAACGTTTCATGAAGACTGATTACACATTTGACAGTACTATAATGACATCTTAGTTGAACGGGTCGTATCCATCCTCCATACTGTTTTAACGTATAATGAAAGCCTACAAAGAGGTGGAAAGTGGACGAATCAGGATGCGAAAAAATTGGGAGTGCAAACTCGGAATCCATTGCAAGTGATGACGCAAGAGGCAATGCGTGCCTGAAAAAAGTTTGACATTAAATTAATCCTCATCTAAAAAGCCCAGGGCAGCCAAATCCGGTTCACCCACAGGACCATGCTCCCTGAGAAATGAATTAATTCTAAATGTCATGCGCAATGGCCAATCGTCCCAATCTCGTTGGTTGGGGTCCCCATCCTGTACATATTGTACGATTTCATCTTCGGTAAGGGACCCCACCCTGTGGCCAGCAATGAGGTCGTCCAATCGAAACCCATCCATCATCCTTTCACAATGGTTGCAGACGCCGCCAGGGGTGGGATGGGCGACCCACTGATAAATGTGGCAGACGGGTTGGTTTTCCACATAATCCCAAGAATCTAATAAAAAAAATCAACAGGAACAGGTTGGAACCCAGAACCGCGCGGCCCAATTGAGTCTGGCTCGTCGAGGGCAAAGACACAGGTGGACAGGCCACAGCACTGTTCGTAGAAAAGCGAACCCCTTAAATACGTCTATAAAAATCAAAAAATGGTATAAGGAAAAGGGACCCACACCCGAAAAAAATGAAAGCCATAAGACTTACCAGCCATGCGACGGCGATGCACCTCATGGTCTAATTTCCTGGCGATCGGGTGGTCCCACGGGAACGTTTTAGCCCAATTCCGCAACTCCTCGTGGGTGCAGCGACGGAACAAGGCGCGGTAACACTCTTGACCCATTGGCAGGTGGTGCAAAATCTTGAGCATGTCAATCAGCATCGCGATGGGCACCGAGAACAAAACCAATGACTGGAGCGAGTTCACCATTTTGGCCAGGACAACTGATCAAACTGGAATGAGCTCACACCGAGCGCGCAACGTGATTTAGAGACTCTATGAGAGGAGCTGATTGGTGGAGAGACATCACGTGGGGATATGGATGGCGAGAGGAGACTCTGGGGGGTGCCCCCCATGGGTACACTTTTTCCTGCCTAGCCCAGAGGAACTAGCGCGAGGGTGTGATTGGTGGACATGAGAGGATTAATAAGACGCATCATAGTGGAGAGGTCAGTCGCATGCTTTTTGTTGTGTCAAGATGGACTGCCGAGGACTCGTTGATCCCCAGAACAAACCGTTTGGCCGCGTGTTGCCGTTAGAAGTCCAGATTAAGATTATGTTTTGGGTGCACTGTTTCTACACCATGGACAAGAGAAAGAAGGTGGTGCAGGAGTTAAAAGGGTTGCCCAAATGTGACCTGACAGGCTTCCCCCAAAACCTGGGCGAAGATCGGTGGTGGAATCAAGTGGTGGTGCGGTTACATGCCCCCCGGAAAAATGGCTGCCACCATTGCCATCGTATGATGGATCACCGGTTGACGGTGAGTGATTTTTTTTCAAGACCCATTCTTCTTCTCATGACCTTGACATTGAGAAACTTTTTTTCTGGTTTTAGATTGGCATGATGGCGGAGATGGCGCGTGTCCCTCCCAATCTGGACAAGGTGATGAACGAGGGGATTGCTTTCATCATTAACCGGTTCATACATCAGATCCCCGAGTGTCCCATTGGTCAGCGCCCCGTGATGATTGGTCGGAGGAAGCGCTCCTATGATACCCTGGATAAAGTCATGAAACGCTTGGACTTGATCATGAATACCATGGGAGCCATGAATTTTATTGTCATTGACATACATTGAGAATGTGATTAAAACAAGTGATTTGATCTATAGAGCAGTGTTTTTTATTGGCGTTTGAATAAAGCTTCCAGGGTGCGATAGAGGACTTGGTCTTCTTCTCGGGTGCCTACAATAGCGGTCTTGTCTTGGAGGGTAGGTAAGGCGATTTGGGTCTCGGTCATGCCTTCACAGACTTGATAATCTTGGCTGTCGGGATTCCACCAACACCATTGTTCCTTGTCCACATCAAACACATAGAGGGGTTTGCCTAAAAGCTGGGCCATGACGACACTCCATCCTGTGCCACCCAACAGATGCTTGCCTATTTTGTCAAAATGACCCAAGGCAAGTACGAGGGACGCAGGCTGGATCACGTGATAATTGCGTTGGATATACTGGAGGCTGATGGGATGATGGATTTGTCGACCCAATCGAAACGCCACCTGGGTGACCATGGAGGTGGCAGCATCCAACTGGGACTGGGTCAAGGGCGCGAGGGACTTGGATCGAGGGTGACAGGGTGGGATAAAGACCACACACGTATGACCATACAAGTGACATAATCGCTCCACATGCGTGTCCACACCTTTGGCACCTCCTGTGTAAATGGTCAAGGGCATGTTCTGTGAAAATTAAAAACAGTGTTTATGGTGAGGGATGGGAGTCCAAGCCCACATGGTATGCGGTTCATCATCGGCATACAGTCTGGGTGTTTGCCATTCCCGACAGGTCACCGTCTGTTCGAAAATAGATCGGACTGTGCGACATTCGTTGCAATTATCTGGAATCCAATCCAGTCCTTGACCTCGAGCGAAGGCGTCGTCTTTTTCGTCTTTACAATAATTGCATAACAAATAGTCTAATAATCGATCACACCGTTGTTGCCACAGCACGCGTTGGGCATTGATTTGGAAGGGGGTGGGTAGAACATGGGTCTGGCGACGTAACCATCCACTCATTTGACAGGCTCGTACGTGGGCGCAATGATCATGCCAGACGCCGCTCCCACGTGCCCCATGAGTATGATCCAGGCACCAGTTGCGGTCCTGATCATTGGTGGCCAGGACATTGACGGTGGCAGTGGGAAGAGAGGCCAAGTCCCGGCAGCCCTGCCCTTCCAAGACCACGAGGGGGTACGCAAACGGGGGCTCTTGGAATAGTTGATACAGACCATTGAGCGTAAACACACCCAATCGTTCCCGCTGGGGAGTGAGATACTGTTGACACCAACGCGTGATATCGTCTCTCATTTGATCGTAGGGATGAAAGTGTTGACGATTGTAATCCGACAA